CCAGAAACGAGTGTACCAGTAACAAATGCTCCAGAAACGAGTGCACCAATAACAAGCGCACCGACAACAAGTACGCCCGTGACTTCCGCACCTGGGACAGAAGACCCATTTGGTGGCGTCCCGATCCTCGCTGATACTCCAGCTCCTCCAACCTCTCCGACGGCAACAGTGGCGCCGATAACGAGCCCACCGGTGACACCAGTGACGAGTGCGCCAGTAACAAGTGTACCAGCGGCGAGCGAACCGATAGTGAGTGAGCCAATAACAAGTTCCCCGCAAACAAGCGTACCAGTAACAAGTCCACCAGTGGTGAGTGCACCGGAAACGAATTCACCGCCGGCCACTAGTACGCCAGTAGCTTCTCCCCCAGCAACAGAAGACCCTTTCGGTGGCATTCCGATCCTTGCCGACACTCCGGCTCCTCCAACTTCTGCGGCAGCAACAGTGGCACCGATAACGAGTCCACCGGTATCGAGCATACCAGAAACAAGTGCACCAGTAACGAATATACCAACGACGAATGCGCCAGCGACCAGTGAACCGATAACAACTCCATCAATAACGACTCCACCAGAAACAAGTTCACCAGTATCAAGTGCACCAGTGACCAGTCCACCCGCAACAAGTTCACCGTCAACGAGCGTTCCAGTTCCAAGTGCACCAGCGACAGAAGATCCTTTTGGTGACATACCGATCCTCGCTGACACTACAGCACCCGCCACCTCTGCGCCAGCAAGTGCAGTGCCGATAACTAGTGCGCCGGTCACTAGTACGCCGGTATCTTCAGCTCCATCGACTGCTACTGCTGCTCCGGTAACCAGTATACCGGACCCTGGTACGCCTGTAACTTCTACGCCAGCCACTGACGCTGCTACGGCACCGGTGACCAGTACGCCGATAAGTACAGCGCCAGCGACAGAAGACCCTTTTGGGGACATTCCGATACTCGCTGACACTACGGCACCAGCCACTTCCGGGGCAGCAACCGAAGCACCTACAGTCTCTACACCTGTCACCGGTGCGCCCGTATCTGCAGCACCAGTACCAGCAACACCTGCCACGCCCACGGACGTCCCGGTGACCGAAAACCCGATCCCTGATATCCCCATTCTTGCCGACGATACGACAGCACCAACGACACCTACAGAGACAAATTCCCCAGGAATTCAGCCCTCGACAAGCCCCTCAGTGACCACGCCAACTACGCCGACGTCCCCAGCAACGGCGACTCCAACAGCATCCACTTCAACGGCCCCGGTGACGACCATCCCGGCGGATACAGCGACTCCTTCGGCGACCAGCTCCGCGAATCCTACAACAACAGCTCCAGTGGCCACAACTGCACCAACTATTGAAGGATTTCCAGATGACGTGCCTATTCTTGCTGATACTCCGACGACGGCCCCGACGGATGCGGCACCACCGACAGCAACTTCAACTCCAGCAGCAGGAAATCCGACAGCGACAACCTCTCCAGTGACTGAATCTCCGACGGCATCGACGCAGCCAACAGCAACAGCGCCAGCACCATCAACGCCATCGGCATCAACAGGATCGACTCCAACAGCTCCGACACCATCAACCGCTGGCTCTTTTTCCGACATACCGATTCTCGCAGACCCTCCGTCGCCAACGACAGCTTCGGGGGCTCCTGCATCGACTGTAGCGATAGCAACGGTACCTCCAGAACCCTCTGTCGAGTCACCGACTGCAGCTGTTCCAGGACCGACCGCAGAGACTCCAGTAGCGGGAGGTGCTGTAGCGACTTCATCTCCGGTTACTTTAAGCCCACAAACGCCCTCGTCAACACTGGCATCAACTACGCCAGGCGCCTCAGCCGGAAATCCGACAGTAGATACTCCCGACGTCACGATTCCACTGCTTGCTGACACGCCAACTACAATACCAACACTGCCATCGACTGCACCAGGCACCTCAGTTGAAATTCCGACAGCAGATGTTCCCATTCCTACGACCCCCTTACTTGCCGATACACCAACAACATCACCGTCAAACCCGACATCATCAGCTGAAACTCCAACGGGGACAGCGGCGACAACGACGGATCCAACAGCGAACACGCCTTCAAGTACCGTAAGTGCGACAGATCCAGCGATAAACACTCCCCCAGGTACCGCCAGCACGCTGCCGTCGAGTTCACCTGCTGCCAACGCCCCGGAAAGCCCCACGGGTGCAGTTTCGAGTGGTTCCCAGACAAATACCCCGTCGTCTACCACTAGGCCTGTGAGTGGCTCATCAACGGGTATTACTCCGGCAGCTGAAGGCAGCAATGAACTTCCATCAACAGCAACAGCGTCCTCACCTTCTGCTAGCAGTGCAGGCTCGAGTTCATCAAGTTCTTCACCTGTCACGAATACGCCAGCCAGGGACTCCACTCTCGATAGTTCCGCTGATACCTCTTCGAGAACGGACACACCTAGCTCGTCAAGATCGACATCGTCTCCAGAATCGACTGGCAACGCTGATGCCATCGCTACTTCTGCAGAATCTTCACAGGAATCAAATCTATCAACTGAATCAGCTGCTGAGGATTCAGACTCACTCGTGTCAATGCATCGAGGAAGCTCACAAGGCGGAGGATTCAAAGGATCTTCCAGCGGAGACTCACCTGGAGACAATCTCCACTTGAATCCAACAGAAAGCATCGACTCAACCACAAGCGAACACGAGTTATCCCCTGGTAGCCAAATAAACGCTATGATCGGCATTGAAGATCCGGCTGCAATCTCAAACGACAACAATGCGCGGTCAGACGACAGTGACGAGGAGGCTTTCCACCAGGCGATCATCGAGCTTACGCACTCACTTGGTCCTGCACGTGACACTGCCACTAGTTCCGTGAACATCTTGGTCGGCACTGCTGTCACTGTCAATGTCGTGAGTTCCGTGATCAGTATTGCAACAACCAGTGCAGCTGCCGTATCGAGTGCTACCACGGGAATTACTGCAACTCACGGGATTCTGCACTTTGTGGGCGGAGGGGCAACTTTGGGACGAGCACCTTTTGTGGACTTGACCGAGCTCTTCATGATGATCAACTATCTGCAGTTCATCTCATCCAGCAGCCATCTCAGTCTCCCCGGTGCTCCAGACTTTTTCTTCCACTTCACGGATTCTTTAGGCTGGTGCAATTTGCAGCCGAGTGGTCCAAGCGGACCTCCTCCTCACGGCGATCAAGACAAAGAGAAGCTTTCTAGCGAAAATGTCTCCAACTTCACGGTCGCGGATGGAGATATCATATCGGGAGTGCTGGCGTACGCTGAGAGGATTAATGTCCAGCCGGAAGAACTCTTCACAAAGACTGCAATCGTGTTCGTGAGTGTCGTCGGCGGAGTTGCAGCAGCTGTGGCTTCACTCTACTCGCTGCTACGGCTTCTACTGCGACGGAGATTGGAGCTATTGATTCAGCGACTCGATGACTTACCTCGTGCCAAACTCTTGATGCGTCTGCTGATCCAATCGTGTCTATCCATCTGCCTATTGAGCGAGTACGCTCTCAGCATGACCAGCTCGTTCCAGATGCGATACAATGAACAGCAACAACAGAACGACAGCCGCAGTGCCTTCGCCTTCGCGACTGTAGCTCTCATCTTCGTCTGTTGCGGGTTGATCGTGCTGGGCGTCGTGAAGATCTGGGACAAAAGCGAAGAGGAACTGTCAAACCCGGACTTCAAGTTCGCATGGGGAGCCTACTACAAGTATTACCACTTCGAGAGTCGCTACTTCTTCGTGGCCAAGATGGGAGCTGAGATCCTTTCCGGTGTAATTATCGGGCTAGTGAGCGACGTGCCGTCCCAATTGACGCTACTGATGTCACTGCAGCTGGCAATGTTCCTCTACACAGTCGAGACTGCGCCGTACTCCATGGAATTTCAAACCGTGTGCTCGTCAATCGCGTTCGTCATGAAGATGGTCACGTACGCACTTATCAGCTCGTTCCTCACGCCTTCAACGGAAATCGGTCTACAGGACTTTGTCGGTACTCTTGTGATCGTGCTGCAAGTGACGCTTCTGGTACTCTTTAACTCCCGCCAACTCTATATCCTGTACAAACAGATGAAATACCTCTGGGAACTACGACAAGATCGCCTGCAGCGTAACAAGGAGATGAAGAACGGAACACACGATGCAATGGTCATTAGGAACTCCGTTCTCGCGCTCATACCTGCACCAGCTGCTCAAGCCACTGGACCACCAGAACCCAAGCGCGACTCGATGGTTGTCACATCGGTTCAGTGTCCCGTGGCCGCGTGTTGATCCGGCGGCTTCTTCTAAGAAACCAATACGATACAAGGGGAAAAATCTCTAGCGCCCACCGGACGTGGCGAGCAGCTTGGCCATGCGGTCGTCGAGTTGCTGGATGTTAGACTGGAATATCTGCACATTTTCAGCCAAGCTTGCCTCCATCTAACAAAACAAAGTATGTAGAATAATAGTCAGTATTAGTGCTCGTAAACAGCTCTATCCATGCGTGTAATACATGTATCTTGAGCACGTAGCCCTTTAGTGGACTTACATTGGCAAGTAACGCAGCGTCAGAATGGAGCAGCTCGCTCAACGAGGCTTGCGTTTGCTCCATCCTATCCACCCGCGCTGTAACATTTAGAGCCTCGTCATGCACCGATTTCAGCGTGACGAGGCGGTCCACGATAGTTGGCACAGAGGCTGTAACAGCGTCAAGGCTGCTGAGCTGGTCGTAAATTTTCTGGATCTGCTCACGGTCAGCCTGCGAGTTCAATGCGCCCTGCACACTTGGCGATTGTTTGAGCTTGCTGAGCAGCGTAAATTCGTGAACAAGCGCCGTCGTACGCGTTTTAACAGCGTCTAGATTCTTCTCGCTCATCAACGCGACACGCTGTTCCAGCTGCGCCACAGCCGACGTCAGGTCTGCGCTGGACGCACCGCTGAGTGAACTGACACCGTCCAGCCGCAGCTCCTGGCCCTGGAAGCTTCCAATTGCTCTCTCCAACGTCGAAATTCGCGCCTCAAGCGTCGCCACTCGCGTCTTAGCGTCCCGATCGACAGCATTTAGCTCCCCATTGCTGTAGATCTCGTACACAATCGGCGCACCATCTGATGATGAAGGTGTCGTCGTTTGACCCTGTTGTTGTCGCTTGAGAGCGTCGATCTGCTGGAAGAATTTGGCTGTCAGATCCTTCTGCAGACTCAGAGCTGCATCAGCACTAGAAGCTGCTACAGAGTTGCTGCCCGAGCGTAGGAACGGCTGGAAGGCAGCGTTCTTCTCCAGAGCAGACAGATTGAGCTGCAAAGTGTTGAGACCCTGCATGACCTCGTTGAATTCGGCCTCCTGACCAGCATCCACCATCACTTTGTGCTTCTTGTGCTCTGCATCAGCTGCCAACAGCGTTAGATCCGCCTCCAATTCCTTCAGTTCCAGTGACAGCCGCGTGAAACGAGCCAGTGGGGACTCCAGCGTCGCTTTGCTGCTACCTGTGCTCGCTGAGGACTCGTACTCCGTTTGCTTGGGTAGAGCGGGCTCTATAGAATAAAAATTATCAATATTTCATCTTGAAATGCCCTCGATTAAGATCTTCGAGCACTACTACGCACTGTAAACTTTGCCCATGAACACTTCGAAGGCCTGCGTGGCCGGCAGCTCCTGTTCATCCAGCTCCATGGAGCTCTGCATCGCATTATTACAATATTGTTGTTAGAAGTAAGATAATATCTTTGGATATTATCCAGGTAATTATTGTGTAATTTGCCAACCTTGTCGTGGAAGTGGCCCTCAGCTTCAGGACCGGCGCCGACGCCTGCGCGGGCCTGACGGGCCGACGCGTTCGCTGGGGCGTAGGGCTGGAAGGCCTCCTCTGGCTCGGGCGTCTCGAAGACCTCGGTGCTCATGACCTTCCTGCGCTTCGTCCCCTCTTTCTCAGTTGAATAGTCCATTACGGCGAAAAATAAGTTGCACAATCTAGACTAAAAGGGCAGGTTTGGGTGTCTCAAATGTAATTCAGTCACAAATTGTGTATCCATGAACCCAAAGTTCGCTTCAACATGGCAGGAGTTCATTCTCGACTAGGCTGTCGATAGTTTACTACCACTATAGGTACACTCTTCGTCCCCGTGGCGTTGCTATTTATTTGACAGTGTAGTGCTGCTTTCATGGATCACACAAACCTTTCAAATTTGACATGTTCGTCTGTTTAATGATCGTGTCACTTTCATTAGCACTGGAAAGCGCCACTACTCTCATCTGTAACAGAATATCCTGCGTTGGCTGAATATGAACGTACGAACGGAGAAGCAGTTCGTGGTAATGAAGTGAGGTATAGATTTACGATATTAAATACAATCTTACGCCTGAGTGATAGCAACGCTCGACGCCACCGAGTACACGACTGAAACCAAAGTGAGCAGCACCATGACAACATTCACAACGGACAGTTCAAAGCCGAGAATTTCCGGTCGCTTGGTCTTCGCATTGAGCACGATGTGTTCGCCCAGGTCGATCTCCGGGAGGCATGACAGCGGCGCGTACGAGATAGTATACTTGGGTGCGCTTTCGGGCTCAACGTCGACGTCCTTCACGGCGTCGTAGTTTTTGAGGTAGGTCAGTGCATTGACTACGTTACCCAGCACCAGCGTTCCAGGTGGGTCGATACCTCGACGACGGACTTCGTCAGCGATCTCACCTAACGTGCTGCGGACGGTGCATGCGTCGCTCGTGGTGGCTGCGTGAATGACAGCAGCGGGCATGTCGCTCGGATAACCGCGTTCGGTTTGCAGCGCCTTGGTGAGTCCTTCAATGCGACCGATAGCCATGAGGAAGATTGTGGTGCGGTGGTCGCAGTACTCGGGCAGATCCGGGAAGCGGTCCTTCTTGCCGTGGCCAGTGCAGACCAGCACCTGGTCGGCCACATCACGCATGGTGGCGGGGATGCCGGCACTCGCAGGCGCTGAAAGTGAGCTAGAGATGCCCGGAATCACCTCCACATCGAAGCCGGCCTCAGAGTAGATGACAGCCTCCTCTCCACCACGACCGTACATGAATGGGTCGCCATTCTTGAGACGCACCACACGCTTTCCCTGCGCCAGCGCCTCGAGGCCCCAGGCGTCCAGTTCCGCCTGCGCGAAGTCGGCCTTGCCGCACCGCTTGCGAGCCACGCGCACCTCGCACATGGCGATCTCCAGGACCTCGGAGGGGACAAGGCGGTCGGCCAGTACCAGGTCTGCTTGCTGCAATGCGCGATAGGCCTTGACCGTCAGCAGCTCCGGGTCACCCGGACCAGCACCCACCAGCAGCATCTTGCCCTTGGTTGTCGTCATTGCAGAGGCGGTGATCTTAAGCTACTTGAGCTTCTTGAGCTTCTTGAGCTTCTTGAGCTTCTTGAGCTTCTTGAGCTTCTTGGGTCGCAATGGAGAATGGCAGCAGACACTCGTTGCCGTGGTCGAGAGATGGGCGTTAAAACGTAAACGAGCCCGTCGCAACCAATCGGATGACGTTGAAGTGATCGTGTGGACCACATCTTTCATTTAATACGTGAGTTGCGGTGGTGCACACCACCAACAGCTTACTGAAACCAAGTCAAACGCGCGACTACGGAAATGGACGCTAAACTGGCCTCCCGCTGTACGCATTATCAGTCGCGCATAAAAACATCAAGCAAAGCTGTTGGAGAGGTGCCATTATTCCCAGCGCAAACGCGGCGATTACCTGTTGTATCGCCCGTAGACGAATTTCGTCCAATCCAGCTGATCACGCATGCATACTCAGACGCAGCACGGCCAGCCAAAAGGCGGGCGCTGGTGGAATCAAAGCCCGTCGACTGACGCATCTTGCAGTTCCTGCAAGACTTTATGATGAAACTATTGTGTATAGCAGGTTTTAGTGACTGCTTTGCGCGTCGATCCAATTGCGTCTGAGGATTGGCCCATATTCCGATCTTTGAAACGACGCGTTCTAATAATACACTGTGATTGGCTAGATTGACAACATAGTCGGGTCAACTGAAGTCACCGTCGCGGTCACTCGCGCGGGGGTGAACTGACCTCTCCATGACATGGCAATCTTGAACGGTTCGGGTGGTGAGCTCCCACTCGTCATTCCGCTCGCCCCAGCGCAAGTCGTCGTTTGCCTGGATATACACAGACCATGTCGCCACCACAGCAGCAACACACCGCGGCCGTGGAAGAGGCCGTGAGCCACGTGGCCTACGCGCTTAGCGACTTCTCATATCTGGTGCAGCCCGTGCCTTTTGGCTCAGCACTAGAGAAATACATCGTCAGTGCGCGGCGCAATGTCTTCGACCAGGTGGGCAAAGTGGAGGAGAGCTCCGCAGGCCAGGAGCTTATTGAACGCGCCTATGCTGCAGCCGCACGTGGCCAATTCGTGACGCTGTTCGCATCATCTCCTTCGGCGCTGCTGCAAATGGTACCCGCCATGTACAAACTCAGCAGCGCACAGCTGCCCGCCGTCATCCACGTTGTGGCACGCGAACACTCGGACCTCATGGCCGTGCGTCAGACTGGTTTCGTCATCCTCAATTCCCTCAATGCCACCGAAACGGAGGATATGGCGCTGCTGGCGCACGTGGCCTCACTGCGTGCGAACGTGCCGTTCTTGCACGTCTACGACGGAGAGATGGCTCACAACGACTTGGAACAGCGCGTGGCTTCCTCCAGCAAATTCAACAACGCGCTCGTGGATTACCAGTACCTGGCCAACCTTATCGGCCTCAAGAATGCGTCGGAGACCACTGATTTCCGTCAGCTCGTGCTCAGCAAATCGGGAGTGGCCGACAATGCTGACGATGGTGAGCTTTATTTCCAGGTCTCACCCGAATGCATCGCCAAGTACAACGCCGTCCCCGAGGTCGTAGAGGACGTGATCAAGCAGGTGTTCGCCAAGAAAGGCTACCAGCTCTTCGAATATTTTGGTCACCCTGAGGCCGAACAGGTGCTCGTGGTCATGGGCACAGCTTCCACTGTCGTCAAAGACGCTGTTGAGTCGCTCTACACCAACTGGAAGGCCAAGGTCGGTGTTATCTCCGTGCGTCTTTTCCGTCCGTGGTCGACCAAGTCTTTCCTGAGCGTCGTACCCGCTACAGCCACCAAGTTCGCTGTCCTGGATCGCATGGATGACGCTACCAACGTCGGTGAGCCTCTGTTCATGGACGTGTTGGGCTCCTTCCAGTCCGAAGAGTGGCAGAACAAGCCCGTGCCTTCAGTCATTGGCGGCAAGTACGCCTTTAACGTGACCGAATCGGTTTTCGATGTCGTTACTGCACGCACTCTGGTTGAGGAGCTGGCTGCTGACAAGCTGCAGAACGGCTTTATCGTTGCTTCCCCGACTGCCACTGAGCAGTTCAACATCAACAAAACCGACACTACGCAGCTGGTCAACTCATACGTGTCGTCCAAGGACGGCTTCGAGGCTCCGTACGTCAAGATGTTGCTGCAGCTGTTCGAGAAGCGCGCTGTCATCGCCAACCTCGTACGCTCCGAGACTGTGTGGAAGACGCAGGACAAGTCCGTGGGCGACAGCGTAACCCTTGAGAATGGCGAGTTTGGGTTTGGTGTACACCTCGGTATCCTGGCGAAGCGTCAGGAGCTCAAGGACAAGGTCAAGGCGCTTGTTTCCAGCGGACACGCTAAGACAATTGTTTCGCAGCGTCTACTCGAGTGCCTTGTGCAATGGTCAGAGAAGCAGCCCAAGCACGAGGAGCTTGCCAACGAGATCACTATTCTGCTTGAGAACGAGCAGCACCAGGGCGGAGTCCTAGCCGAGATCTACGCTTTGAAGCAGTACTTTGCACCGTTGAGCCAGTGGATTCTGGGTAGCGAGGAGTTCTCGCGTGACGTCGGCGCTTCGGGTGTTCACCAGGTGCTTGCTAGTGGTGAAAACGTCAACCTGTTGATCCTTGACACGGAGCCGATGAGCGCCGTCAACCGAAGCAACCGCAAGCGTGATCTGGGTCTGTATGCGATGCAGTATGGCAACGCTTACGTCGCTTCTGTTGCGTTGTACGACTCGTACTCGCAGGTGTTGCGTGCGCTGAACGAGGCGGATGCCTTTGACGGTCCATCGATCGTACTGGCGTACGCGCCGAGTGCCAGTAACATGGAACAGGAAACCAAGGAGGCTGTAACCAGCGGATACTGGCCACTCTACCGCTACAACCCTCTTCTAGAGGATGTGGAAGGTGAGAAGGCCTTCTCTCTGGAGTCACCGAGCATCAAGAAGGAGCTGCTGACGTTCCTACAGCGCAACAACCAGCTGAGTCTGTTTGCTAAGCAGGCTCTGACTGCTCCTACCGCTGCCTCAGTAACGGAGAAGTACGAGCAGATCGGGCAGGAGGCGCTGAAGACCAGCTTCGAAGCTCTTCTGAATGGCTTTGGGGGCCAACAGCAGGAGCCGTGGCAGGTCGACACCAAGCTGTGGCTTCTTGTTGGCTCGGACAACGGCCACGCTGATGAATTCGCCTCGAAACTGGAGGAGGACGCTTTGAACTTTGGTCTGAAGAACGTAGAGAAGATGGACATGAACGACATGACCATCGACCAGCTTCTGGACGAGGCCAACGACGAGAACGCGTACGTCGTGTTTGTGTGCTCGACTGCCGGTCAGGGTGAGTTCCCGAGCAATGCCAAGGAGTTTTGGGGTGAGCTGTCAGGATTCAGCTCGACGCTTCCGCTGCAGTACGCGGTGTTCGGTATGGGTGACAGCTTGTACTGGCCCCGTGAGGACGAGAAGCACTACTTCTGCAAGGCTCCCGTGGACCTCGACGCTAAGCTGAGCGAGCTGGGAGCTAAGCGTATCATTGACCTCGCCAAGGGTGACGACCAGGACGAAGATGGTCCGATGACTCAGTTTGAGACGTGGAAGCCGCAGCTATGGGAGCAGATCGGCATCCCCACCGACGTTGTCAACCTCCACCAGGGCACGAAGAAGAAACAGCGCACGAACGAAGAGATCAAGCAGCAGAGTAACTACTTGCGCGGGACGGTAGCTGAGGGTCTGGAAGACCGCACAACCAAGGCGCTTGCTGCTGATGACACGCAGCTAACCAAGTTCCACGGCATCTACCAGCAAGATGACCGCGATCTTCGTGAGCAGATGCGTCTGGAGAAGAAGGAGAAGGCTTTCGGCTTCATGATCCGTGTGCGTGTTCCCGGTGGTGTGTCGACTGCCGAGCAGTATCTGATGATTGACCAGCTCGCCGACTCACACGCCAATGGTAACATCAAGCTGACTACTCGCCAGGCGTACCAGCTCCAGGGAATTCTCAAGTGGAACCTGAAGCCTATTGTGCAAGGTATCAACCGCGTGCTGATGGATTCACTGGCCGCTTGTGGCGACGTGAACCGTAACGTGATGGCTACTGTTAATCCTTCGTGCTCTGTGGAGACCCACGAGGAGATCCTGGACATTGCTCGCGACATCTCAGCCCACCTGACCCCGAAGACGAGCGCTTACCACGAGATCTGGCTTGACAAGAAGATGGTCGCAGGTGGCGAGGTGAAGGACTTTGAGCCTTTCTATGGTGAGGCGTATCTGCCGCGGAAGTTTAAGATTGCTATCACGATTCCTCCGGCCAACGATGTGGACGTGTTTGCTAACTGTCTGGGTTTCATCGCTATCCTCGAGAAGGACAAGCTGGTCGGCTTCAACGTCACTGTGGGCGGAGGCATGGGCATGACCCACAACAACAAGAAGACGTACCCGCGTCTGGCTGATGTCATGGCGTTCTGCACGCCTGACCAGGCCAAGGATGTGGCCGAGAAGATCATGGTGCTGCAGCGCGACTTCGGTGACCGTGTGAACCGCAAGCACGCTCGCTTCAAATACACGGTGGAGGACCACGGTCTGGAGTGGATTCGTGCCGAGACCGAGAAGCGCCTAGGCTACAAGCTGCAGGAGCCGCGCAAGTACAAGCTGCTATCGAACGGCGATCGCTTCGGCTGGATTAAGAACTCGCACGGCAAATACCACTACGGTATGTTCATCGAAGGCGGTCGTATCAAGGACACCAAGGAGACCGGCATCCGTTCGGGTCTGCGTGAGCTGGCGAAGACATTCCCGCACGTCGAGTTCCACCTCACGGGTAACCAGAATCTGAGTCTGGGCAACATCTCTGAGGACGAGATCCCGCAGATCAAGGCTCTCATGGAGCACTACAAGTTCGGCAACGACAACTACTCGGGCATGCGTCTGAACTCCATTGCCTGTGCTGCTCTGCCGATGTGTGGTCTTGCCTTCGCTGAGGCTGAGCGTTATCTACCGTCGCTGGTCACCAAGATCGAGGACATGCTGGAGGCGAACGGGCTCCGTGACGACGCGATCGTGATCCGTATGACTGGCTGCCCCAACGGCTGTGGGCGTCCGTATCTGGGCGAGATCGGCTTCGTGGGTCGCTCCCCGGGAATTTACAACATGTACCTCGGTGCAGGTTTCTCCGGTGACCGTCTCAACAAGCTCTACAAGGAGGCTGTGGATGAAGCGCAGATTCTGGAGGAGCTCGAGCCTATTATCAAGGACTACGCGGAGAACCGCGACCAGGGCGAAAAGTTCGGCGACTACGTTATCCGTGCGGGATACGTCAAGGCCTGTCTCGCCGCTCCACTCGTGGAGAACCGTGCCGCTGGCGACACCTTCCATGCATAAGTGAGCTTGTCGTAAATGTAGTAACATGTATTCAAAATAAATATCCTCAAACAATACTGCAACGTCAGCACTTTTTAGCTTCGTCTCGCAGCTCGGCGGCAGCAGCTTTTGCGTACAGTACAGTGTACGATGTGCGTACATTTCGATGTGTACGTACAGGTTCCAACACTCCTTCACCATTGCGACGAATCTATAGACTCCTTTTATCGATTGATGCCGTCATTAGTATCACCCTAGCACCATAATGACGATGATTCAATCTGTATGAGCGTCGATTGACTTTGAACTCGCCTGCAATTAATAGCGGATCCGGTGGTGTGCGTTGTACGCACAACTTGCACTGGATTAATTTGCAGCAGCTACAACAAACTGCAAACTGAACCTCGTGCACCAGTTTTCCAGCTGTTCCGATCACATGATGGCGACACCGACACGTACGTGTCCCTCTCCTCGCCTTTGCGCGTTCCATTGCTCATTTTGATGGATCGAGGTCTCATGCGTCTCTCGGTGTGCCTTCAAAGCGTTATCCTCGCAGTCGCCATTGGAGTGACGACTGCTGTGTACGACTACGAACCACTTCGTCAGCCGACATTGTACCAGTCCGACTGCGCCAAGCAATGGAGTAAAGCCACAGATAGCTCGTCCTCGAGTGTGGACGATCGCTCGACAGTCAAGAGCAGAACAGGCGAACTGCGGGTCAATTTGGCTGTGAAGCTGGCGCGGTTTACGAGCGAATATGTGGATTTCAATACGAGAGCATACAATGGACACGTGCCAGCCCCAACCATCAAGATTTGTCCAGGAGACCGACTCGTTGTCACCCTCACCAACTCACTGGAAGCTGGTAAGAGCAACAATACCAACCTCCATCTGCACGGGATGCACGTGCCGCCAGTGGGGGATGCCGATAATGTGATGCCCAATGTGGAACCGGGAGGACAACGCCGATATACGTACGAGATTCGACCAGACCACCCAGCAGGAACATTCTGGTATCATCCGCACACGCACGGCAATGTGAATTCGCAGCTCAATGGGATGATGGCAGGCGCGCTTATTGTGGTAGACCGACCGGCAGATTTCCCAGCAGAATTGGCAGCGATGGATGATCTCATCATGATCTTACAAGCGGTTTGTGTCGAGAACTGTTTCAACATGTACGACGATCTTGAGGAAGCGATTGAGAACAAGTACAGTCACTCTAGAAGACTTTCAGACACTCCGGATGAAGATGAGGAAGAACACATTTGGCCTACAGATCTTGAAATCGTCGAGGACGATGCGGACATTCCGTTGAATGACACCTCGCTACCCACAGTTTTCGTGAACGGACAATATCTACCGACTTTGGACCTCGCAGTTGGCGAATACAAGCGGCTCCGGTTTATCAATGCAATTGCGAATAATGTGGCTGAGCTCGTGACGAGTCGAGGAAGTGGCTGCATGTTGGAGGTACTCGCCATGGACGGAATTTACTTTACAAAACCCAAGGCGAAGGAGGTGATTGTTATCCCGCCAGGCGGACGTGCTGATGTAGCTATCATGTGTGCTGAGATTGGAGAATTCTACCTCGAAACGGACAGTGCGAGCTCCCGCAACAAGTTGCTAGGACTTGTCAACCAGCACCGCGTGCCATCTCAGCCCATCGTGAAACTCAAGGTTACTAAAGTCGAGGATCCTGACGATGAAGATGAGAGTGAGATCTCTGCCGAGTTCATGCGTCTCCCTTCGTCGTTGCCAAAGCGGCCAGCGTATATGGAAGATACACTTGGAACTCCCCAATCCCGCCCCATTATCGAGGAGAGCAACAAATACGACTTCGAATTCTCGGTGTGGATGGATAAAGGAATCACGTACGGCGTCAACCACGAGAAGTTGGACATAGCGAGCATCAATTACTCGATGCCTGTGAATGAGATGCAGCAATGGGAAATCTCGGTCAAAGACTACAGGAAGGCAGCAATATGGGATTGCGACTTGGAGGACGACAGCACTAGCGTAGAGCGGCGTCTAGCAAAAAAGTCGAGTAATTGCCGTACCATGAGCCATCCGTTCCACATGCACTCGACACATTTCCAAATCTCGGATATGGACGACATCACTGATCCCGATGGAATCATGTTTGACGTCGGTGAATGGCGTGATACATTGCCGATTTTCCGAGGAGGTGTGCAGATCCGCTTCACACCACGCGAATACATGGTTGGAAATATCTTTGCTCACTGCCATATCGCCTCTCATGTCGACGCTGGCATGGCACAATTGGTGAACGTCTACGATTCCGACACCCGTTCGAACGGAGATGAAGCAAGTGAGGAAGAAGACAGCGCCTCCGACGAAGATGGAGACGAAGATGAAAGTGACAGCAGTGATACGGAGGATACGAAGGAGGTACAAAACGTGGAGAAACGGTGAAGCTAGATAGATCAGTGAACACCGACACATGAATATTTATTATTTTGTCGTTAGGTAGTCGGTGTATGATGAATCCACATACAGTGTGTCGCAAAATCCTTACGATTCCCAAACAATTTCCTCCAAACGTTTAGCATAACTCGAGTTCCAGTTTCTCTCGAACACATGCTCGAGTGCTTTTCGTGTAGATTCATGGTTCGTGTTGACGCTGGCACCTGCCGTGGTGTAGAAATATCCCCATTCCATGTTACTCGTGCCCACATTCGCGCGAGTATCGGTGACAATGTATTTGGCATGATTCACGCGGGTGTAGGACGGCCAGGAAGCTTTCGTGTCAGCACTGGACGTGGTGTTCTGCCAACCAGGGACTCGGAAAATCTTGATCTCAAGTCTACCGGAACATCGAGCGCGCGTGTGCTGACACAAATTTGCCTGCTTTTTCAGCGTGGCAAGTGCTTCCAGCATTTGAGGGCGGGTATGCTGCCACTGACTGATCAGTAGACGCACCTGCAGTCCCGGTTTGCTGTACACTCCAGCCAGTAGTGCATCAGTAAGTGCTGGCCAGTGTAGTGGCCCGGGTGTATACATCGAGAACGGCACAAAATCCATGACACTAAGACTGACGAAAGACTTGGCCGATCGGATCGTGTATACCAGTGCGTCTTCGTCAAAAGCTCTCGAGTGTGCAGCTGTCGCTTCCAGAGGTGCAGCCGCAACAAACATTTCCGCTGCTTCAGCACCTCGCTCAGTATCATTCCCATTCGAAATCGTACTAAACGAGGTCTGCATTTGGTGCGAAATATTGGCTAATGCCGAAAACCCGGCTTTCACGAATGGATCTTCAATTCTCCTGTTCTCTGGCAGATACAACGACCATTTTGGCACTTGTAATTTATGTTGAAATCTCTCTGAAAAGTAGTTATCCGTCTTGGCCGGCAGCAATTCAGGAGACGCAAACATCCACCAGGTCTTAAAGAGCTTCTGCATGTCTTGAATCACCTCGGATGTTGCAGATAAATTCTCCATGAGCACGCCCACCTCCATCACTTGAGCCAAAGACTTCCAGTCCATGTTGGCACTCCCCACATACACATGACTATCATCAAAGATCCATATCTTCTGATGCAGAATGCCGTTACCATACCAGTCAGGGCCACTCCAGCATCTCACTTGAACATTATTCTTCGCTGAATCCGCCAGCATTTGCACCTCACTCGGCAGAGGGTTACATGGCATTTTAGTTGTTTTATCCATTTCATCCGTTTCAATCTTCTGTTTCGCCGTTAAAACTCGAATCTTCACACCTCGAGTCGCCGCGTCTTTCAATGCTAAAAGCAGATTTTTGCCTCTGTCAGCACCGAATTTCGTCATTTCGGCGTCGGAATAAACTTTTCGGTCCTCCTTGCCCAGCAGGTTCCAGTACATCGCGCTGAGGTCGATAGAGCGCTTAGCGGACTTCACATGACGTGTTAGAGCCTCGAACGTCTGTGGGACATCCGATGACAAGTCAAAATCCCCCACGGGCAGCGACTCGACCAGCGACAGCGTCGCCTTGCCTGTTAGAAACTCGTTAGAAACGGAATCAGACGTCCATTTCGGCTCAAATACTCGCGGCTTGGAGACAGAAGGAGAAGTAACTGCGGTGTCGCGAGGAGAGAAGCGCAGCGCTACAAGAAACAAACATGATATCGCCCACAGCAGACCGAACAGCGCAGCGCCGTCACCGCGACGCAGTCGGCGCGGCATCTCCTCAACGTATCTACTTCTTCAAGACGTTTGATAGTCAAGTTTCTAACCTCAGCGGCTGTCGCATGAATGCTGCATTTATTTCATTTCTAACCCAGTGAAACATTCAGACGACAATTAGAAACTTGAAGCCATGCATTTTTGACTGGCCAAAAGCAAGTTACAATGGCGGCCGGGAAGATGCCTGTGTCTCGCAAGGCTAAGCGCAAGCAGGAGCGCGAGGACAAGAAGCGTCAGAAGAATAAACGACAGCGCAAGGAGGTGAGCGCGCAGTCTACAACAGATAGAAATGCCGGCAACTCGCGTGGCAAGAAACCCGCCAAAGCGCATCGACCCAGCGGCATCACCAACAAGTTTCACGAATTCCTAGCAGAGGCGGCGAATGCGAAAGATGGTGCGCATGTTCATGACTGCAGTATGTCGACATAGTAAATTATCCACCGATACGCCACGTTGACTACATACAGACGAACCCAATGCCGAGGACAGGGAGATTAAGGCGCTGGAGGCCAAACTGGGACTCGGGTCGTCGTCATCCAGTAAATCTGAGTCGGCTCTGAAGAAATTGCAGAAGTAGGCGCAATAACTGGTATTATTTATTGGCTATGAAGTAGTAGCTGACGTTGCGGTGGTCGATATGATGACAGGGAGTACTCGAAGGACGGACTGGGTGAAGACTTTGCCGAATTTTTGTCGGAATTGGATCATATTTCAGAGTACGAAGGCTGTGATTGTTGGCGCAAAAAGAGGAATGCTAATTGCTTATTTTTCGGCTTTGCAGGGTTGTGAAAGGCCGACCGAAGGCGGCAAAACACTCAACTGCACATGATGCCGACGTTGAGAACGATGGAGAGGAGAGTGAAATGGATGCGAGTGAGGCTGGTAGTGATTTCGGAGACGACATGGAGATGGATGAAGAGACTCGACGCGAGATGGAGCTGCTACAGGCGGAAGACGCTGAGTTTTTGAAGGGCATGGACGAGCTGCCGACGGACGAGTCGGAATCCGAGTCGGAGGATCTCGCCCAGTTTTACTCGGACGAGGAGGAAAGTGAAGACGATGAAGCTCAAGCTAACGCTATGCGAAACCAGCAACTAGCCGCTGGTGCAGAGGAGGCTAGCGATGAGAGCGAAGGCGAAGAAGAACAGGAACAGGCGGAGGCAGAAAGCGATGAAGATGATAAACTAGACGAGGAAGAAGAGAGCGACAACGCTGATACCGAGGAGAGCGACAAAGACGACGACGAGGAAGAACAGGAGAAGGAAGAGAAGGAGGAGAACGTCGTTGTCGAAGAGGACATCTACGGTCGACCTGTCATCAAGTCGAATGACGGCACCAAGAAGCCATCAGCGTACCTTCCTCCTCATCTGCGCCGAAAGATTCAAGCCGAGGCCGAAGCTGCTGCTGCTGCGGCTGCCACAGATAAAGTCAAGCCCTCGCAGATGGACGAGCAGGCCATGCGCGAGCTGACACGTCGCATTAACGGCCAGCTCAATCGTATCTCCGAGTCCAACATGGAGTACGTCTGCCTGACACCGTTGGTGTATTACTCGACGCTTACTAACCATACGTTTCCCTATGATCAGGTCAATTGCGCTAGAAATGGAGAAAATCTACCGTGGAAACGGTCGGTCACTTGTGAACGAAATCCTATTAGAGAAACTTCTTCAAACAACCTGCCACCCTCGACAAGTGATGGCTCCACTCATCAAGGTTGGTGGTGCTCTGGTGGCAGCTCTGTACCACAGTGTTGGCAGCGAAGTCGGAGGGTTCTTCGTTGAGAAGTTGGTGCGCAAACTTATGGATAGCGTGGAGGAGGAAAAGAAGCAGCTCAGTGAGTCTGCAGACACTCACCTCGATGATGACGACGACGCTGGGAGAACGTCCAAGGTGCCGGTGAACTTGATGCTGTTCGTGATGATGCTGTACAACTTCGGCGTCGTGCACTGTACGCTCGTGTACGATCTCTTCCGCTCGTTCGTGGACAGTTTCTCGTCCACAGGCATTGAGCTGATCCACCAACTCCTGAAGGTTGGCGGTGCTCAACTTCGTTCGGATGACGCTGACGCCTTGCGTCAAATGGTTGCTGCGGTACAGCAGAAAGTGGGGGAGGCACAGCAATCGAACGGTGGAAAGCAACCCGAAGAGCGTGTTCGCTTCATTCTGGACCTCATTTATGACCTCAAAAAGTCGTCCAAGCACAGCAAAGGAGGGAAGAATGGTGTAGGTGGTGGTGCCTTAGATGTTTCGTCATTAAAGAAGTGGCTTGGGCGTGTGAAAACGCGATGTGGAAATGCCAACAATCCACTGCGTGTGTCTCTCCATGAGCTGCTCAATGCCGATGAAGACGGTCGTTGGTGGATCGTTGGTGGTACGTGGGTCGGCTATCAGCAGCAGAAGTCGAGCGATGACGCAGCTAATGACGATGCAGCGAATGAAACTGCGCGGGAGAACGACAGACTCTTGAAACTCGCAGAGAAACAACACATGAACACGGACGTCCGCAAGAAAATCTTTGTGGCGCTCATGGGAGCGACTGACTGCTTTGACGCGTATGAGCGATTACTGCAGCTGCACTTAAAGGAGAAACAGGAGCGCGAAATCGTGCGTGTATTGCTGCACTGCTGCGGCCAGGAGAACAAATTCAACAAGTACTATCTGGTGCTGGCTGAAAAATTGTGTGAGATGGACCAGCGATACAAATTCACGTTCCAGCTCGCGTTCTGGGATATTTTCAAGCAGATGGAGTCGCTCAAGCCTCGGAGGTTGTACAACCAAGCTCAGATGTTGGCTGGACTTGTGCTTAGCAGCAGCTTGTCGCTCTCATGTTTGAAGGTTCTCGACTTTACGCAGCTGGAGGAGAAGAGCATTTTGTTCCTGCGCGTTTTGATGGAGGAAATCCTCAAGGTGGAAAGCGAGCTGGAGATGGCGCAGGTGTTTCAGCGCTTGCTGCAGACGAAGAAGGCGCAGCTTACAATTGACGGCCTTGCGGTTTTCTTCCATCAACATTTGACGAGCTTCCGCGGTGAGCCTGACCCGAAGACAAGATCATTGCTGAAAAAGCGTGTCAAGAGTGTGAAAAGCTTGCTGGATCAGCTCGCCAAATCTGCCGCATCGGCGGAAAAAAAGGCTAGCTTCATGTAGATAGGAGGCAAATCCTGCATACAATAGACCATCAAACCCTTCCCAAGTCGCCACTGATTGCAGACAGTATCTCCACTACGAAGGAATGATTGCCTCCGTGCCACGACAGATACGAAGGTCTGGATCGATGACAGTAATGGCACTGCACAATACCCACAGTGATCAAGTATGTGTGGCTGCAACACAACAGTGATGAAGCCAAATCATGAAAATCTCGTGGATGCACTGCAACACACATACTTGATTAGATAAAATCTGATGTTTGGCACGGCTGAATGCGCTTCAACGAACATACACTGAGGAATTTAACGTCCTCTGAAAGCTGCTATACCATGATATCAAAACGAGCATCAGCAAGTTGCTGACAGCAACTGAAAAGGAATGTACCCGCAATAGGTTTCCACGTAGATTATTTCGTAGCAAAATCTGATTCTTCGTCCTCTACTCCTCCTCAATCTTCTTGATAAACTTGGCCGGGTTGCCAGCGTACACGCACATGGGAGGCACATTCTTGGTCACCACACTGCCAGCTCCGATCACAGCGCCGCGGCCGATCGTGACTCCAGGCACAACCACCACGTTGCCACCGATCCACACATCGTCCTCTATAGTGATCGGCTTCCCCAGTTCGTACCCCGAAGATCGTGCCTTCGGTCCCAGCGGGTGTGTGGCCGTGTAGAGCTGCACGTTCGGAGCGAACATGACTCGGTTACCGATCGTGATCTCACACACGTCGAGCAGGACGCAGTTGAAGTTCATGTACACATTGTCACCCAGTCGGATGTTGGAGCCGTAGTCGCAGCGGAAGGGCATCTCAATGAAGCATTCTTCACCCTTGGAGCCAAGCATCTTGCTGAGAATCGCTTGAGCTTCCGGGGTCTCGGCGCCTTCTAACTCGTTGTACTTCTTGACCAGCTTGCGCGTCTCCTGTCGCTCTTTGAATAGATCCGGGTCCATGGAGAAGTAGAGCTCGCCACGCAGCATCTTGGCTTTCTCGGTCCCCACTTGACCGTTCTGGGCTGCCATTATTGTCTGGAGATTCGGCGTCAACTGCGTCTTGGAAGGAGAAATGAGAAATGAGATCTGTGACCACCAAAAAGCTTGCCTTGACTTCGATGATAAGCAGCACGAATCACTACATGCAGTACCTATGGATTTTAGCAGGCTGTCCTCTTTTGATCGCGTGGTGCCCACAAGTGCAAGCGCGCGACACTCACAATCTGCTAATGCTTGACACGTGGCAGTCGAACAACTTGCGCCAAGGAAGCCTTTTACACTAAGGTAAATCATCAATTTAGGGCCGTGAACCAGTTTTGGGCCGTCACAATTACAGCCAATGACATGAAATATCGCGTCGTACTAGCGATCTATTGGCTATATTTCACAAAGTTCGAATACCTTGAAAACTTAATACAAAACGGCGGGAACTGTTGGCGCCATTTTTTTCAGCGCCAAGAACACGCTGCCAACCAAAGTGAAGTTGCTCAGTACCAATCAATCCACTCCTTCGTTATAATCGAGCATACTGCAGTTCACTTCTGAATTAAATAAGCAACACCCATGGCGACCACTCGCCCATACTACTCGACTGAGACCAAGACCGCTGTTGTGGCCGAAATACTCAGCGGAGCGACGGTTGCAGACGTCGCAACCCAAAGAAGGATTCTAGAGAGGACGATTCGGAAGTGGATAGCCAAGGTCAAGAAAGAGAACTCACTAGAGCCAAGTCGTCGCGGCCCAAAACCCCGTCTCCCTCCAGAGGCGGAGCGCCACATCTTCGAGTGGGTTGTTGGTCGCCAGATTGTAGGGTATCCAGTCGACCGAACCGTTATCCTGGAAAAGGCTCAAGAAGTATCACTGCTCGTGGCTGGTCAAAGCGTTGGGCCGGGATGGTACCAACGCTTTATAGAGCGACATCCAGATTTGACAACCCGGGCGGCTCAGGCCTTAACTGAGAAGCGGAATTGCGTTGTCACAGGTGATTTAACGACACTGTTCAACTCTTTGGCTAAGTTAATCATCGAGCTGCGCCTTGACAGCTCTCGAATTTTCAACATGGATGAAACAGCGTTTCAAACGCGCAAGAAGAGTAAGAAAGTGATTGCTGTGCGAGGATCGTCGAATGTGTGGTGTTTGGATCCGTCCGTTAACTTTCACTTATCTATCGTCGCTTGTGGAAGTGCCGCCGGCGTTGTAGTGCCTCCCATGTACATACTACCTGGCAAAACCGTGGAGTGGGACATTATGGATGAGTGTAGAGGTTCTAGCGCCGCTGTTACTACTTCACCCTCTGGGTTTATCAACACGTACATGTTTCAGAGATGGCTGCACTTTTTGGATAAGTCTGTGCCTAGTACTATCAAACGCCCCCTATTACTGGTGCTAGATGGCTGCAGCTCTCACTACTCTGAGGATGTACTGGAGACTGCGACTCGTCTCGGTATTCTCTTGGTTTTACTGCCGCCTAATGCTACACACCTATTACAGCCTTTGGATGTTGCAGTATTCGCAACACTAAAGGTGAAGTTGTGCAACCTAATAAAGGAGGTCGTGGATGAAGATGACAAAGGCCGCTATTCTATTGACAAATTAACGGCAATAAAGCTATCCAACATGGCTTGGGCGACGAGCAAGATCGGCAGGAACCTCAAGATCGGGTTTAAAGCTTGCGGCTTATTTCCACTATCGCTAGTGTGTATGTACGAGCGCTTTGGTATTTTCCAAAGAAACGGAGCTCCCCGTCACGCACACCTTGCAAAGTGGCTGCGTATTAGGCCGACAATTGAAGCTGAAGTACTAACATTGCGCACGAAGCAGAAGAAAACACCAAAGCGCAAGAGAATTACAGTGGGTGGTAGACTACTGACGCAAGATATCCTCCAGCAGCTCGCTGCTGAAAGCTGCAAGAAACGCCCCATGTCACGCAAGATCCCAGAGGTCCAAGCTACAAAGGATGGCTCGACTGCTCCAAGTAGGTCTCCCGGATGTTGTTAATTCCTAGATGTGACAAAAAATGTTAGTTGCAACTATTACACAATGCCAAAGAATCACTTACCATATCAGTGCGGAGAATTAACGGGAACGAGGGGACTCGAACCCGCGACAACCCTGCTCCCAGTATGGGCCCTCAATAAGCTAGACGTGTAAACGACTGAGCTATCAGCACTTGAAGTCTCTGATTACACCGTCGTATAGACATACACATATTTTCACTGCTATCATTTGTATACTCTATAAAGTTATCTTAATGAGTTCATATAAAAATAAATAGGTAACTAACCCTAGTCTTGATTGGGCTCAGAACTGATCACCAGCTGATTCCGTCGATACTGAAAGCAAGATTATTTACGGCCCTAAATTGATTCTAATCAGATTTTTGCGCTCGCTTCATGTGCGATCGCTTCTATTGGTCAAAGGCAGGAAAAATTTGATAAAAATGCCCTGATCATAAGCTTTCTGAAACTGTAAAATTTTGTTTCTCATCCTTAATAGTTGCCGAGCAAAGCGGATTTCGTTCACCACGGCCCTAAATTGATGATTTACCTTACTAGTTCTGCTTGGGTGATGCCGTGCAAACGTGGCTCTATTGCTTTTAAGGTATCATCATTGATCAAATCAGCGGATATCATTTTTTAATCGGTGCCCATTATTGTCCAAAATAGGTCAAAAATCCGCAGTCGTCTTGTATTCAGGGTAGGAATATCCACCCCGAGCGAATCTTACGAAGACGTATCATTTCTGATTCCCTCTATATACACAGTTGGCAACAAATCTGCCGACAACAATGGAAGACAACAAGAGAGCGATGGAGGAGGTACCTCTTGTTGATCCAACGGATAAACAAGTCGAGTCAACCATGATGGAGACTGAGAGAGCTAAGATGCTGCGTGGTGAGCTCTACAACCCGATGCATCCAGATCTACTCAAGGAGCGACAGGAGACCCGCAAGCTGGTCAACAAATACAACAAGCTCGGAAGCGCCGAGTCCCCGGAAGCCCAGGAGATTCTCACGAAGATGCTAGGGGCAAAGGGTCGCGACTGCCTTGTCGACATACCCTTCCGCTGCGACTGTGGTTCTAACACCCGCCTTGGGGACAACGTGTACATGAACTCCAACTGCGTCCTGCTCGACGAGGGTGAGATCACTATTGGTAACCGAGTCATGCTCGCTCCAAATGTACAGCTCTACACGGCCACACACCCGCTGGGACCTAAAACACGAGCTACAGGGTACGAGCGGACGAAGCCAATCACAATCGAAGACGACGTTTGGATCGGGGGCAGCGTGGTGGTTGTGCCTGGGGTGACGATCGGTCGTGGTGCTGTTATTGGGGCTGGCAGTGTGGTGACCAAGAATGTACCTCCCATGTGCGTGTACGCTGGCAATCCAGCGAAATTTATCAAGAAGATCGAAGAAGAGTAGGGCGATTGACGATATCCACTCTCGAGAAAGGATCTATTTGCCTCTCAACTGCTGCATCAAGCTATATTCCGCTTCGCTCTCCCGAATAGCATTCGTTACAGTCGTGCCTTCTTTGTACCCCTTCGCAATTATCAGCTCCGTGATTCTTACTTCGAAGTAGTTACAGAATTCGCTGACAGAAATGAGAAGCTAGTGTGTGAATGAAAATGGGAGTTTTACCTTGCATAACTTAAATCGAGCCTCCTTCTGTTCATGCAGAATGGTCGGCAGTTTGTGAATCAGCACCACCAAGCAGCGAAAAAAACGGATCAATGGGTCAGATTGAAACTGAAAATTTGCCTCACTTTGTTTCGGATTGTGCATTTTTTTTCCAAGTAAAACTGGCCAAATTAAAACCGAAGTTTTCCTCCAAAAGTTCCCCTAAAAAAAACTCAAATTAAAATAAAATATTTGGTATTTTAATAGAATATCATACGTTAATTCTGTGCCATCAATGATGGCGTGAAGTTTTATCAAAATCCAGGTCTCGTCGTCAGAGATGGCGTGGACCTCCACTGCACGAGGACATTACACAAATCGTTTCAGGTGAACGCTGTACTACTTGCTCGAGTAGATCAGTGATGACAACTAGGCAGCGACAACAAATTTCATGTCGAAATCGATAGCACATGCAGCAATTAACACGCGTGGGTGTAGCAAGCTATTTTTGCTTTACCTCTACTTCCTGTTGGAACTACCACTAGTAGATGCCTCCTTTGGCTCAATCTTCTTGATGAACTTGGCCGGGTTGCCAGCGTACACACACATCGGCGGCACGTCTTTCGTGACAACACTTCCGGCACCGACCACGGCGCCGCGGCCAATCGTGACACCGGGGACGACGACGACATTGCCACAAATCCAGACGTCGTCCTCGATCGTGATAGGCTTACCGATCTCAAGGCCCGAAGAGCGAACCTCCGGGTCAAGCGGGTGACTGGCCGTGTATAACTGCACGTTCGGGGCCAGCATAACGCGGTTTCCGATAGTGATGGGGCACCCGTCGAGGAACACACAATTGAAGTTCATCTGGACGTTGTCTCCAATGCGGATATTGTAGCCGTAGTCACAGCGGAAGGGCATCTCGATCAAGCAGTCCTTCCCGATCGCCCCTAAAAGTTGCTTCATCACCGCCTTGGCCTCAGGACTCTCGGCTTGGGTCATGTCGTTGAACTGCTTGGTCAGCTCTCGGGCGGCACGTCGGTCCTCCGCCAGAGTCGAGTCTGCTGCGATGTACAAGTCTCCACGAATCATCTTGGCTTTTTCGGTGTCCATGTCGAGAAAAACTCTTGGTGTCGTGGGTTGCTGTGCTGAAGGTAAATGCGTAAATGGTGGAATGGTAGAGGAAAACAACTGCGATGCAGAACAGCAGTGGTGACACGTGTCACTAACTGACGCCTATAACGGTCCAACAAAGCCGCGACACATTGCGCCCACAGGAATACCCGATAAACGTGCTGCTGCAATTGACAAACCATGATACATGTAACAAATGTGTTTGTAGTATAATGGTGACGAGCATGATTAAGTTGACGAACAAACAACTAACTAACTATTTTGAGAAGATATTGCATTTTACGGCAGATATATGAAATGATAACTTTCCAAGACTTGGAATGAAAAAAGTTTACTTGGAATCCAAGTAAACTTTATTTTATCAAAGTGATTAGACACGTGACTAATATGCTACGATAATGTTCTAGTAAACCTCATATTCGTCCCCTACTACGTCGTAAATACTTTGTTCCAGAAATGTATCTACCGGTAGTAAAGAGAGTAACCTATTGATTCTAGTGACTAGAACCAAGAGGCTAATTATTTTTACTACCGGTGACTAGAACCTAGTCAAATGTAAGAAAATGTTATCCAAAATAAAATAGATGAACTTGTTAACCCTGATCAAATATGAGGTCACATATTAGTTTTTCTTCACAGAAATTGCCAGGAGCGTTTCGGTGATAACGCAGAAAAATAATTGCTGAAATGTCAGCTTTCCGTTGAGCAGGAAATATGTCTTTAGATTTTTTTAGAGTGCGTGGTTGAGGTGGTGCGTGCCCATATGTGATACAGTGCTATTTGTTGAGAAATTGCCAATCATACTAAAAACATTTCGAAAAAAAATGGCCACAGACGCTGTATTTCAAACTCACAACGAGCCAAGTTTGAGCGTGAAAGCGCGTAGGTAAGGATTGGTATCAGTAAGGATCTCAACGAAATGAGTTATTTTTCGATTTCACCTTTTTGACCCATTTTTTTTTCCTCGCATTCTTGCTGGCAAAGCATGTAAATAGTTGCAGCGATTTCTTGAATCATAAAACTGACAAAACTTGTCAATTTTAGGCCTGTCTTCGTGAGATTAATAGAGAACTGTTTTTGTAAGGAAATATCTGAACAAAAATCAGAAAAGCTAATAATTGATTTCCTTACAAATATCTTTGGACACTCCAATTCTCTGGAATTCATTTCAGAGCTAAGGGTTCCGATTGTTGTTTCCTTTCTTGAAAAATAATAGCCCGGGTATTCCTATTTCGAAATATGTGTAGATTCAAGAAGGGTAGATATACATGTATCTAGTTAGACAGTGCAGTGATGACCACGAAATCTATACCTTTGTTATACATGTACCTGGGGCTTTTTCTGCGTAGGTTGATGATTCACACCACACACAAATAGAACACTACAAGATAGCACAAAGTGCTGCGGAGAAGGCCGCGTGTTGCTTTTGTGGGAAAAAAACTTGAGCTTCTTTCTACTTCTTTCCTTCTCTCGCTATTGGGATAAAGCAAGCAGATACAATGTGTAAAGTGTGGGAATCAGTGCTTTACAGCAGTTATATTTATAAGCTAAACAAATGTAATACCTGTCTCGGTTAAGGACGTACGTTATTGTACGGAATGTTGGGCGAATGATTCTAATGAAAAATGCCCGCGGTGAAAACAATGCTATCATCGGTTCCCAATCAAGTATTTAAGGGGAATTCTGCTTTGAAATCTTTGCCAATGGTAAACAAATTTATATGTTCTGCTCTGGCACATTCAACCAATCTGAATTGGTTTTGGTTTTAATTAGTTCGAGTTGTACTTTCAAGGAGGTTGCTGTAACAGCTCGCCAGAGCAGATGCTACGGCTGCGGAGCAGGCGCAGGAAATGCGCCGACAAAGGAACTTCAAGCCATTGAAACTAACTAAATGAATGAATTTTTGCTAATTTTCAGAGCTTCTTCGGGCGAAGCATGACTTTGTACGACGGGGCAAGGAGTCTATTACCACATTGAAAACCTTACTGATGCTGTATCGTGTCCTAGTAATAGGCGGCGTTTGGTCCTAAGCGACATGTCCTGGCGAAATGGTATCCGTACAGCTTCTTGCCCACAAGTCTCACCAAGAACTAGGCACTGAAGACGACGACCGGGCCTCTGGCGATCTGAAACACTGACGATGAGATCCACAACAAACCCGCATTGCACAGCATGGTCTGCAGCAGATCGAGCAGAGATGGCGTTGAAATACAGTGTTATGTTTTTTTTAAGGCAAAACTCTTCACGTACCGTTAACGTGCGCATAACTAAGCTATACTGTCCTCTGTTTACGATTTCAACAAGGTCACGGATGGTTACTTGATGATCATGGTCTCTGCGAGGTCTGCGATGATGATGCATTTGTTGTAGTACCCAGATTTGGTCGATTACGCTAGATGACTGGTTACAAGAGAGAGGGGAATCAAGAGCTCGATTAAGGAAACTAACTTTGATTGATTTCGTTCAATCAGGGACCGTGATTCACGGTCTTGTTGGGCGAGGCCGCTGCTAACGGCCATTTTACACACTTTACACACTTTGATGTAGTGTAACAAGTGCAGACCTACGATCGAATACATCACAAGCTCTTCTTGAGCTTCATGCCTAAAAGTAGTGGATTGCAAACGAGCTGGAGAGGACGAGTAGTGGTTGCATCACAAACGCCGTGGACAAGGCTGCTTGTGGTATTGTTCTGGGAACTCCTGGTTCGCAATCGTAATTAAAAATAGTTCATTTCAACGTAACTTTGTTTTAGGAAATTGTAAAATAACGGTTGATAGAAAAAGCACACCGTAAAATTGCAAAATGTACACCAGTACACTGCAGCCAAAACGATTCGGGGAGGGGGGTATACAACTCTGTTGTATACGCAATTTTTTTGAAGACACGGCTTCATTCACCGAAAGATTCGTAGTTTGCAGGCGGAAAACTACCATCGGAGCTGATGGACGGCATGACGGGTCCAGCGCAATGCACTTTCCGCTAACTCCACCACTGAAGCCAGACAGCTGGATGAAAACGACATTTGCAAGGCACCGGTCGCCACCTTTTGTAGAATCACCGCGTCCAGTGCCTTCCTCCCAGTGTTCGGATCAATTCTCGCGTGCGAATATGGTAACGAGTGAAGATCCAACTCCGATAACATCACACCAAATGAGAAAATATCCGCTTCCTCATCGTAATGATCGGCCATCATCACCTCAGGTGTGTCCCGTACCCGGGAATACGAGTGGTGTTCCAGAAGGCCGTCCGTTGGGAATGGTTCCTGGCCCCGCAGAAGTCAGCGCCTCCCCTGCTCCCACTCGTGCTTACCGTGCCTAGGACGGCCCTGTCCTACTGTTGATCCCGTCTCCGACGACTCGAGGAACGCAAGGTCCCGCTGCAGAGGTGGACTCGCTCGACCTGGAGTCGTCGGGACGGAAGACACAGAGCCTCCCGACACCAGTACGCTATGACCAGGCGGAGAGGTGTCATCAAGATGAAGAACGAAGTATATTTAGTAGTTATGTAGCGTCCTACAACATGCAGATCTAGCAGGAGGGAACGCGCGGTGGCGTGCTCCCCTCACTCGTACATTTTCCCTGCCTTTCGCGAGACGACGAAGGAAGAAGAAGAACAAGAACTTAGTTGTGTTTAAACTCTGTTTCTTCGGTTCTTAGCGTTACTACCGCACTGTGCCTACCTACACGAGTCCTTCTAATATCAATCCGTTGCCTGCCCGACCCCGTCAGGAGAAGGTGTACGACAAGTTGGTGGAGAAGCAGGGCAGGCAACCCGTTGAAGAAGGACTAGAAGCTAACTCGTGCAACACGTTCAAGGGTCGACGACGCGATAATGTCGACACCGTCTAGGTCGAGAGGATCGACCTCAAACCCCGCGCAGACGAGCGCGATATTGGCGGCACCGGCGAGGCCTGCCATCACCACCCCAGGCGGACTGGGAGCCGTGCAAGCAATGGTCCAGAGAGCGGCTGGCGGTACTACCCGAGGCCGAGGGAGCGGTCGGTCATCTCGTACTTCAGGCCAAGGACGGAGTCAGTCCGTGACCCGCGGAAGCGTGGCGGCCGCTTCGGAAAGCGCCGACCCGAAGGTCACTCAGGCACCGACGCCTACTCAGGGAACGGTGCCGACGGGAACGTCGACTGTCTCGGGGACGGCGGGAGCAGACGCAAGTCCAGTAGTCGCGTCGAAGACCCAGGGGGGCCCCGTGCAGGCACCCAGCCCAGGTCTTCAACGCGCGATCGATTACTTCCAAGGCCAGCTAGGCTTGTCGGTGAGTGAGGGATCCACCTTGATTCCCTCCCAAGCCCACACTGAGAATGTGGCCGGGAGTCAGACAGTTGCACTATCGACACCTCCCCTTTGGAACTACGGAAGAACCCCAGAAGTGACCAATGGGATGACTCCCCTGATAAATTCTGCGACCACAAGAGTAAGGACGGCCATCCCGTCCTACGGGGGTTGTACTATCGGGAGCCAGATGAACCCGACCAATCCTGGATTCAACCCATTCTTCGTTAACCCCGACTGGGCCCGCACGCCCGTGGTGCCCCAGACAATCCCCGCTGCTTCATCTGGATCCGCTTGGAACACCCCCTTGACTGCAACGCCGGCCGGGTGGCAAAGCGCAGCCCGATCCGGAGGATATTCGTATGCGTACCAACCAACTACTCCGAATACTCCGGCACTCTACACTCAGAGTGGGTGGCCAGGGACGCCATCTACTACTACGGGAAGACACTACGGACCTGGAGGGCCAAGTGGACCAGGAGGGCCAAGTGGACCAGGAGGCCCGAACGGTCCGGGAGGACCTGGAGGTCCGGGAGGCCCGGGGGGACCGAATCCTCCTGAGGGCTTCCCTCCCTCGTCGGGAGCGCCGTTTCCAGGGAATAACGGTTTCACCGGTGGAGGCTTCCAGAATAGTGGCCCAACTCACTCGCAGATGATGGGATACGTGTCGTACGGGATGCCTTCTCACATCAAGAATGCGGTCCGCATGATACAACCGTTCTACTCGGATGGGTCTTCGGTAGAGAAGGCAAGGACTTTCTGGGAAGCATTCGAACGTGCTACGGAGGGATTGAGCGAGCCCTTGAGGCTGAGTGCGTTCCGTGAGTGCTTAAAAGGAAAGTCAGGTGAAGAATGGTGGACTCACTCGCAGATCAACGACTTCGAGACTCTCCGGACACGGTTCCACAACCAGTTCGTGTGCCAGACCCCGTTGCAGATGATCGAGCGCCTCAAGACCACCAAGCGTCCAAAAGGCGTGTCAGCCGAAGTTTGGGGAGACCAAGTTTCTAGTCTATGTGACGCCGCTCAGTGCTTCGACCCTCAGATGAGGTACCAGTACTTTTTGTCGGGACTGCGTAACTCGGAATGGAAGGCAGCGCTGGCTACGACCATGGTGAATTCAATTCCCGAAGCCGTAGCCTTCCTACTGTACAAGAATATGCACCTACCGGTCGAAGATGCGTCCGAGTTCGAGGATGACTCGTCGAAGAACGATGAATCCACAAGAGCTATGGTGAGGCAAGTGATGGGAATGGTACAGCAGACTCAAAATCTGCTGGCGCAACAACACCAACTGGGGGTTCCTATGAACCACCAAGTCGCCGCCGCGTACCAGACCTCTCAACAAAGTCAAGTACCGAACCAGATGAGTCCGGTGGCTCCTCCGTTCACACCTGGGAGAGGAATTCGCCAAGGCGCAGACATGTACACGCAAGATGGCCACATTGTCTGTGGGAGATGCCACACGCTGGGGTGCAGTAGAATCACCTGCTGGCGGAGTCGAGCCACGTGCACTAACTGTGGACAAGAAGGACACGCCCGTATGGAGTGCGAGGAACCCTACAAGCAGCCTAATCGGCCCCAAGGCCAGAGTCAACAACGCACTAGCCCCTATAACAACCGTAACGGTCAGCAACGTTCCGGAAGGGCTTATTTCCTCTGCAATCAGAAGGATCATCTAGTTGCAGAGTGCCCGGTGAGAGCTTCATTTCAGCAGTACAAGTCGCAACAATCGACGGGGAGCGGTGCTCATCAAGGGCAAACACCGTCCCAGCAATGACGGGGGCGAGAGGAAGGGGAAGAGTGCGTCGCTCCTTCCTCTTGTCTAATTAGCGACGCAAACGAGGCCGCTTTGAACTCTCGAGGAGAGTCGACCGTCGCGTATGAAGTGGGCCTCGTCTCGAACGGAATGAATCAACCCACCCGGGATGCGACTGAAGTGAAGGTAAATGAAGTGTATGTGACTGAAGAAATGGATCAAGAAGGACAATTTGACGAAGAGCTGAGCTCGGAGAGTACCGAGCGCGTGCAGAGTGTGTCGATGGTAGCAGAGGCTACGGAAGCATCGAGAGTGAACCCGCAAAGAAAAGTCTGAGGAACTGAATGAAGCAGAGGAGCTGATACAAGACGTATACAAAGAGGAAGGGAGCTCGCGAGGAAGCCCCCCCTCAAAAGGAGGACGGCCAGAGTGGTAGAGAAAAACCCCGTGGCCCGCGCAAACCGTATTATGCCCGCCTATTCACGACAGAAGAACTCGACGATCTCGAAGCTGGAAGAGCGACAGGGGGTTTCTGAAGAGAAGGAAGAATACGACAAGGAGCTCGAAGACCGCCTCATCGGTCTCGACGAAGTTGCACTCAAGGAACATGTGAAGAAGAATGCTGAAGGGCAAAAAGCTGTGTCGCTGGGCGAGCTGAGCAAGATACTAGACATCCCTGAAGAAGTGTTAGCTCGGACCCGAGAGGCCGCTTCCGGAGAGCTGTCCTCTCCGGAATATTGGTTAGAGTGGTACCGGAGAACACTAGCCACTACTGCTGCTGCTAAACGTGCGAACCGTGACTTTAGGTCTACCCCGATTGGGAAGACCGTGCTCGAAGGCGAGCAAGAATACGACATCCCAGCTCAAACGGACGCTGAGGACGACGCCGACAAGGGAGAGTTGGAGGAACCCGGAGGAGTGTTCTTGGTAAGAGCACTCCCTCCGCCGGGGAAACCCAAGCCTCCGGACGGAAGTGTCGACATCGACGAATTTGTAGTACGAGAAAATGTTGGCGTGGAGCTATCTGAACACCCTCCCGTGGTGGGAGCGGTAAGTCCGCCAAGTGGAAGTCCAGTCGACAGTGGAAAGTTACCCGCCGAGTGGCGTGGGTTGGTGCGCAGAGTTGTCTATCTGCTCGTTCGCCTGGAAGAAATACAGAACGGTTCACTTTGTCTCCTGTGTCAAACGGCCAAACCGCCTATCGAAGTACTCTCGGATGGAGAAACCGTACCACGAAGAGAGCAAGATCTGAGGACAAGGGCTGGTCGAGTAGTGGACCACTTCGTCGACCCCAAGGAATCTGCATTGAGAGAAAGAGTACTTGAAGGAATACGAGAAGCCTATGAACAAGGAGCTGACGAAATGCGCTTAAAGATCACTGAAAGGAGCTC